GTCATCCTAATGCTGGTCTCCAAGTTAGGACAATGAGGAAATGTGATCCTGGGAGGTGTGTGTCCTGCCCAAGGTCACAGAGCCTGGTAAGCAAGTGAGAGTGGAATTAATCCACCTGTAGAGAAATTCTGCCAAGAAGAAAGCAAGCTGTGATTGTGGTGCTCAGGAGCAACTTAGTGTCCAAGCCAGGAATAAAGTCCAGTGTTCTGAAGGGTGGTGTATTTTGGGAAGTACTTTTTAAAAAAATGGTCTTGGGGATTGAATACAGGGCCTCACATATGCTGGGCAGGTGCAGAGCTGCACCTACGTCCTTTTTTTTTTTTTTGCCAGGTGGGGATCAAATCCAGGCCCCTGTGCATGCCAGGCAGGTGCTTACCAGTGAGCTATACCCTTTTTATTTTATTTTGACACAGTGTCTCCCTAAGTCGCCCAGGCTGGCCTTGAACTTGTGATCCTTCTGCCTCAGCCTTTCGTGTCAGTGGGATCACAGGTGTGTGCCTCTGACCCAGAGGAAAGAACATTTTGGAAGTTCTGGAGGTGGGTTGCCAGCGCACTGGCATGACGTTGGAGTAGTGCCTTCTTTGGGATGGAGGAGTGGCTGTGACGCCTCTTGTTGGAGAGCTTCCAAACGCCCAGTCCTGGTGCCTGCCACTTGTTATGTAACTTTGTAATCGGCATTTTCTGTCCCACAGGACTCACTGTCTAACATATATGAAACACGATCATCAGTAAAATCCATTCTTGGGTCTGGTTTTCTAATTTTCAAGAGTTGCTCTCTGACTTTGAGTTATTTCAAGAGGTATTTGTAAGAGCCATCACTATATACTGCAGTTTTTGAAAACTAAAGCGAGAGAGAAATAAACCTTGTGTAAAGAATTACTTGTGGATCCAGGGATTCATTTAAATTTTGAATTATGAATAACATTCTTTAATTATTAAAAGCTTCTCACTTCACTCTGTGGGGGACAATTGGATATTTCCTTACAAATATTTAGACTAGTGATCAGATTTCTTAAAAATGAAAAATCGCGCAGGGCTGGGGAAGGGTGCTGAAGTTCTGCCTGGCCATCAGCTGCCCACGGCTCTTGTGAGTCCAGACAAAAGAAGCAGGTAGATTCAGTCTTGAGGAACTTTGGCTCGTGGACACCTTGGATGCTGTCAGGAAAGTGCTGTCATTCACCTTGGGCTGGCCTCTGCGTTCTCAATGTAAGTTGAGAGGCAAGACGACCCAGGCAGAGGGGTTTGTGGGGACATGGTCTCCCAGAGGACTCAGGCTGCGTGTTGGGTTCATATTCTGCAATCCAGCCTGGCTGGCAGCCGCTCGTCCTGGTTGTTTTGTTGATAAGAATTCTCCTGGAGTCCCCTGGAGTTCCCTCTCTTAGGTGAGAGGCAGGACTCCCTGTCTGGTAACATGAAATTTCATGAAGAAAACAAGTCCAGTGCTTTGAGTCTGGCTCTATAAAAATGATTGATAAAAAGCAATTCATTCTTTTACTCAGCAAAGATTTACTAAAAAATTATACCATTTAGGAATAAACATGGTTTTGGGTAGCTTTCAGGCAGCAAATTTGTTTTCATTTTTGGTGATTTTAAAATTTTAGGTCCTCACAAAGTAGTAGGCATAATTTTTATTTTGCTGGAAGGCTTAGTACAGTGTATGACCAGTTGGAAAGAATCAGCCGTAATTGCAGGTGCAATCCTGGCTCGCCTGTGTTGAAGGTGCTCAGGGCTGGGTGATGGTCCTGCTTGTGGGCAGGGAGTTTCTAGAATTTAGACCACTGGTATTGTAAAGCCATTCTAGGGACGGGAACTTAGGCTCTACTGGGAGCCCCGAGCCTCTAGCTGATTGTTTCATAGATATCCAGAGTGGCTAAGAAGCTTTTAGAAGCCTGTGACATTGTGACCATTTCTGACCACTTCTTTCTTTTTTTTGTTTCTTGGTACCAGGGATTAAACCCAGAGGTGCTTTACCACGGAGCTACCACAGAGCTATCCCGCCCCTCAGCCCTTTTTATTTTAAGATAGGGTTTCATGAAGTTGCTCGGGGCCTCACTGAGTTGCCCAGGCTGGTTTTAAACTCTCATAATCCTCCTGCTGCAGCTTCCTGAGTTGCTGGGATCACAGGCGAGCACCACCGCACCTGGCTTGTGACCATTTCTTAACGTTGATGCCTGGTGAAGAAAGATAAAAAGCCGGTGACTCAGGGTCTCTCTCCAGCCCTGATCACAGATGTATGGTTTAGAGCAAAGTCACTTATATTTTTCAGAAGGCAATAACTTTTTGGGGGAGGTGGAGTACCAGGGATTGAACTCAGGGGCACTAGACCACGGAGCCATATCCCCAGCCCTATTTTTTTTAAAATATTTTATTTAGAGACGGCCTCACTGAGTTGCTTAGTGCCTCACCATTGCTGAAGCTGGCTTTGAACTCATGATCCTCCTGCCTCAGCCTCCCTAGCCATTGGGATTTCAGGCATGGGACACTGTGCCCAGCAGAAGGCAATAACTTTTAAGAGAAATATACTCTTGCCTTGGGACTGTTATTTATGACCCAACTCAAATTGATAATTTTATTTGGAAAATAAATGATTCCAAATAATAGTGTACTAAGAATAACTTTTGCCTTTTTTAGTTTGCATAAAAATCTCTACTTAGCCATTTTTAAAAATTCATATTCTGTTTTTGTTGTTGTTGTTGTTTTGGTAGTGAAGATTAAGCCCAGAGGCGTGTTTTACTTGAAGAAACCTGTTTATTTTTATTTATTTGTATGCTCATTTTGCTATTTAAAAACATCTATCTATATAAATAAAAATTATCACATATGTAGTCTGTAGCAATTAATAATCTATGCCATATTTTTACCATTTTGTTTCTAACATAATCAATGTTAGAATAGGAATATGGCTGAATGTGTTTTTGAAAGTATATCTGTATCAACATAAGAATAGAAAACAGAATAGAATAATGAAGAGGGATGTGAAGGAAGAGTATGTTTTGTTTTGTTGTTTGTTTTGGAGTTAGGTTTTGCTGTGCTGCCCAGGCTGGCCTCCAACCCCTGGGCTCCAGTGATCCTCCTCCCTCAGCCTCCTAAGTAGCTGGGACTGCAGGCAGGCTCCACTGTACTGGGTTTAGAAAGAATACTTTTTAAATGTTTAACATTGAAACCACATTTCTTTCCTGCTGGACAGTTTTGTCCTCATCCGTATGGCCCAGAATTAAGCAGAGCAGTCTCCTGGTGCACAGTCGCAGAGCAGATGCCCTGACTCCTCTGTGTGCCGTGAGCTCTTGAGAGCAGAGAGTGGGTCTCACTTGCCCTCTAGCCCCGAGTCCCCTCAGCACATGGACTTGTGGGCTTGGGGCCTTTTCTTACCTGTGTAAGTCACTCTGGGTTTGGAGCTGAGCCGGATCCCCTATTCATGGACAGCTCATCTTTGTGGTGGAGGAGGATGGGCTTGTGGTTGGCACCACAGGACAGGAATTTTCTCTGGGTTAAAATAATTACCAACAATAAAAACCAACAGCTCAGTTTCTTGAGCGTCAGCGGCCGGTGGCCCGCACTGGCGTAGACAGGCATGAGGGCGCACAGGTGGGGAGTCTCCCGACTGGGTGCTTGGTTACCATGACGGGTCCATGTCAAGTAGTCCATTTGGAAATGAGGTTGTGACATTTCTTCTGGTTTTGAAAACAAGGCTGGCAGGTTTGTGGCTTCGTGTATCTTATGTGACTTAAATTAACCAATCCAGTCCTCCTGTCAGTAACCCACTGTTGACGAGTATTTTACTCAAGCTTTACCTACCTAGTTCTCACAAAAACCTTGGGAAATGAGGGTGGAAATGAGTCGCAGGGTCACATGACCTCTCGAGGTCTTAGAGGTCATTGTGGAGGAGCGAGACCCTAGTCTATGTGACTGGAAAACTCGTTGCTCCTGGGGGCGGGCAGGGGAGGGCGTTGGAGTACTGCTGTGAAGGCTCAGCTCTGACCTTAGAGGTAACCTGTCCCTGCTCTTCCCTCAGGCATTAAAGACTACTCCAACTGGCCCACCATCCCGCAGGTGTACCTCAACGGCGAGTTTGTGGGAGGCTGTGACATTCTTCTGCAGATGCACCAGAATGGGGACCTGGTGGAAGAACTGAAAAAGCTGGGGATTCGCTCCGCCCTTTTAGATGAAAAGAAAGACCAAGACTCAAAGTGAGGGTGCTGGTCCCCTGGGCAGAGCCGCGGGGGCGCCCCCGGAAAGCCTTACCCTCGCCGTCTCTGTTCCCAGCAGCTGCTCGCGGCCCAGGCTCTTAAGCAGCGGGCGGTTTTCGCTTGTCCCGTCTCTGGGCTGAGACCATCCTGTTGTGAACGTCCTTGTAACCACTGCACTGTAACCCTTCAACTGTTGTGTGATGATGTTGCTGGAAGCAAAATTTGTTCTTATATTGTCTTTTATTCTTTGCCTGATTCAGGGTCATGAATGTGTCAGTCTGCAAAGATAATATACCCCCAATTTTTTGGTAATTTCTTCTATTAAAGGAAATGACAAAGAAAAAGTTGTTAGAGTGGGGGCGTTGTTGTTTTTTTTAAATAAACTGCCAACACAGAGACAGCATGCGTGTGTGTTGTCAATCCTGAGGAGCACACATCTGTAGGATGTGGGTGCCTGCCGCCTTCTCTTTGCAATTAACTCTGTCAAGTGTGCTGTGGCGGCTGTGCCCCCCATTTCTCTAGGGCAGGTGGAGTAGTAGCTTGGGAGGAGGTGGGCTGCCCCACTGCCCTGTGCCAGGCCGACTGCTATGATTAGCTTGGGAGAAGGCTTCCACCGTCCGTCCACCAAGGCATGGCTTTCAATGAGTATCTTATTCTTAAAAAAAGAGCCTTGATTAAAGAGGAAATCTGGTGTCTTGATAAGACTCACGGTGCTTCTGCATGCCCAGGCTGGCTGGAAGGAACCTGAGGGCTGCACCGAGGTGGGGGAGGAAAGCCCAGCCTGTCCTGGTGTCTTTGGCTCTGCAGGAAGTGGCCACACAGCATCTGCTTAGAAGTGCATCTTCCGGGGGGCAGAGGCAGGAGGAAGGACGCATCCTCCAGTGAGTGGCTGTCTCTCAAAGGCAAGCCAGGTGGGTTCCAGTCCCTACTTTTTTTTTTTTAACTTTTTAATATTTATTTTTCAGTTTTCGGTGGACACAACATCTTTATTTTATTTTTATGTGGTGCTGAGGATGGAACCCAGCGCCCCGCGCATGCCAGGCGAGCGTGTTACCGTTTGAGCCACATCCCCAGCCCCCAGTCCCTTCTTTAGCCTGCTGAGCCCCCTTGAAAAGTGGACTAAAGTGGACTCCCTCTGGGAGGTGGCCTGCCACCTGGGGGGATGGCCTCCCTGGGGCAGGATCTGCTGGGTCCCCTTAGCCACTGTTCCTGCTGCCGACCTCACTCATAGGCTTTGGGATTCCCCCAGGGAGCGGAAAGAAAGCTGTAGCCTGACCCTCACCTCACTGGGGACCTTGGCCCAGACAGAGGACTGGCCCTTGCCCCTCACCAGCCACATGGCGAAAGCGGCTCACTCTCAGGAGGTTTTGATAGCACTTGTTCACACAGCCCTTTGTGTCTGTTGCAAGCTTGGCTTGTGTGGGATCGTGGGTGGAGGAGGTTGGTACTCTAGGGGGACCTTTGCTCCACTGGCGCTCAAGATCTTGCCCATGCTGCCATCCAGGTTGTGACCTTGTTTTCCGGAAAGAATGGCAATGACAAATCACTTCACACAAGCGCCAGCCTGTGGGTCATGTACATCAGGCTGCAGAATCGTCCCTCACCATCACACCTGGTGTGTAGCAGGGGGCTTTCCCACTGGGCTCCTTTGGCTTTCCCAGAATCTGTCTCTATTCCCTCAGAGCTCATTATGAAAAAGAAAAGTGATGAGAAACATATTGGCAAGGAAACGTCAGTGTACTTCTGGAACGTTACTGGGCCCAGGAGGAGGCTGCCCCGTGGACGATGGGACTGGTGCTCATGAATCACAGCAAGATCCTATCAAAGTCTCCAGAGAACTGGGAAGTTCAAGGAGCCACTGAGCTCTCAGAAGTGTAATGTTCTTTCCAGAAGATAATTAGTAATTTTTTCTAAATCCTTAACAAGTCTTTACCAAGTGGAAAATTAAAGATGCTATCTAATGTGAGCTTGGACGATGCTGACGGCCTGTGAGGGTCTGTGAAATTAGCATTCACCATGAGAAAGAGCAGCGCCTGCAGGCTCCCGTGCAGACCTCAGTGCTGCACAGCGCCTCTGAAGATGCAGGCGGCTTCCCCGGGTCCAGCATGTACTTTGGCCCTGCTGTCCTGATTGTACTAGATTTTCCTCACAGCTCCTAACTCATGGTGTTAGACCCTTCAGAGATACATGAGTTTATCTTAGAAGCTCAAGCATTTTTATGATTTCAGGCAGTTTTTGTTGGATTCTTAGACTGGCAGTTAACACAGACACTTCATCTGTGCTATAACTTTTGGAACTATTTTAAAAAATAACTCTTGTTGGTGCTGGGACTTGAACCATGGCTTCCTGCATGCTCCCTCTGCGCCCACCCCCAGCCAAGGTGACTAAGGTGAGTTTCTGGCTCTACTGAATCACATGTGTAGATCTGGGGCCTGAAGCTTTCCTATCATTAAAGCTGTCAAGCCAGTTTAAGAAAACTCTTGCTACATCCACTAAGTAGTTTACTTGAAAATGTAGTGATGAGTAGAATCTCAAGAAGTCATTCCCTATTGTCTGTGGCAGAGATCACGCTGAGGGCACAGGAGTGACGTCTGTGTTGGCAGGGTTTTGTTGGATGACTCAGTTGTGGGTCAGAGAGCTTTATCTTAGTTAATGAGTCACTGAAGAGAAGAGATACATCAGGGCCTGATCATATAAAGCAGATTATTTTTATAAGTCTTCAAAGACATATAATATTCCACTTCGGAATTGTTTAGTGATTGTGGCAAATATATATATATATATATCTCCCAGGGGATCCTCTATCACTGAGCTACATTCCCAGCCTTTTTTCTTCCTTTCTTTATTATTTGGAGCCAGCGTTCTCACTAAGTTGCAGAGGCTGGCCTTAAACTTGCAATTCTCCTGCCTCAATTTCTTGAGTTGCTAAGATTACAGGCTGCACTGCCACGCCCTGCTAAAAAACAGCTTGAAGGAAACCTGTGAACAACATAATAGCTGATTATCAGAGACAGGGCATGGGGAAGGGAGGGGCTGGTTTAAGGTCCAGGCACTGGCAGAGACTGCAAAGTGACGACGATGGATGTGTCTGAAGTGGCATTTCTGTCTTCAGTTGAACAGCAGCATCGCTAGTAAAGCCGTGTGGAGAGTTTGCAGTCTTGAGCATAGAGGGGGACAGTTTTCTGGGCAGTTGCTCTGGAGCCCAGTGCAGTGGGGCTGGGGGCAGGATGGCCTGCAGACACCTCTCTGGCCATTCCACTCCCCGCTCAGAAGCCTCCCAGGGCTCCTGGTAGGCAGTACACAGAAGTGTGCCTTCTACCCCAGAAAGCCTTCCCTGACCTCCCTGCCAACGGACTCCCAGGTCTGCTCCACGGCCTCTTTCTCTTTTATTTGGCTTCATTCAGGAATCCCCTGTGGCCAACATCCGTAGTGCTCCCCGAAAACATGTAAAAACACGACTGGAGGATTTCCTTCCCTCCTGCCTTCCAGATTGGCCATGACTGGTAGACAGCCACGGTTTACCAGCCTTGCAGTGTCTCGTGGGAGCTAAGAGCAAGGCCCTGGCTTTGTGCTCTGGTCTTCCTGGGTGTGTGCCTGTGTCACTGACCTCAGGCAGGTCAGTCACCTCCTTTTTCTACCTTGGGCTTGTTAGGAGCTTAGTAAGGTCCTGTCTATTGAGGACATGGCCCGTAATGAGCTCTTAGTCCAGTTACGTAAAAAAAGCTGCACTTTGTATTATCCTCTGCCATTCACCACCACTGAAGGCTTTGAGGGAGTACAAATAGTCCATGCCTATTAAAATTACCATTGATAGTGTTTGGTTGTCTCTGAACACGGAGGTTCATCTTTGAAGGTATGTGACAAGATTTAATACAGATATCATGTCATCTCAGCTGCTCTAGGGGACAGAGGGTGTTCAGCCAGAAAGATTTCCTATAAATTATTTTCTCAAGCATATAGTTTGACTTACTGATTTTCATTTTTTAAAATATGACTTACACTAGATGTGGTGGCGCATACCTGCAATCCCAGTGGCTCAGGAGGTTGAGGCAAGAGGATCACAAGTTCAAGGCCAGCCTCAGCAACTTAGTGAAGCCCTAAGCAACTTAATGAAACCCTGTCTCGGAATAAAAAATGAAAAGGGCTGGGGATGTAGCTTAGTGGTAAAGCGCCTCTAGGTTCAATCCCCAGTACCAGTGAATGAATGAATACAACTATATTTCAGACCACATTGGAAAGTCTTTTGTGACCTGATATGTTAGGCTTTTATTGTGTGGAGTTAATGCTTGAAAGAACACAGCTTAACCTTGAGGTGATCCTAACTCATCAGCAGGGATTATGATTTGGGGATCTACTGAACCTCATTAGCAATTCTTTCAGAGATACAGTTTGCCAGAAAAGAAGGTAGGAATGTCTCCCAGTTTGGGAGGATCCAAGATGATGGGCCAGAGGGAGGCAGCATTCTGTGTTGCTCTATGACCTGGGACTCAAGTAGTGAGAATATTGCTTCTCTGTGAGCGATATTCCTGCTTCTGCACAGGAATCACAGCCACTGTGCTGTCCAGGGCTTCAGGCCTTAGCGTCAGAGTAGGTCGACTTGCCCACCCAGACTACCCGAGCGGGACCTCAGCCCCCATGCAGAACTTTCTGCCACCCACCTGAGCAGAAATCACAAATGCCACTCCCACGCAGGACATCTGGCAGCTTTCCACACACAGGAACTCCGGCTGCCACTCCTGTGTGGACCCCCATCTACCAGTGTGGGGCTCCCCTCGTCGCTTCCATCTTGGGACTCCACAGCAGGGAGATAGTCCCCTACGTGCACTGGCCTGCCTGCACCCAGGAACTTCACCCAGGCTCTGAAGTCAGCCAACTGCATGCCACAGAGCTCGGCTCTGAACTCATCCTCTCCAGTGCCATCGCTAGGCTCCCCACACCCAACCTGACACCCCACCACTGAAAGCAGGCGCCTCCATCTTGGGTCACCTTCATCACCATTTTCAGTGTGGGCAACTCCCAGTGTGGAACTCCACCTGGCCAGGTACCCAGTTTCTAACACCCCTCTCCCCAGCAGCCGCTAGCCAGGCACAGTGACACCCTGGTTACCTTCACCATCCTGAAGGTGGAGTTGCCAGCTAACAGCAGATGACCCGACTATTGGATGAGAAGGGACGCAGGAAAGATACTCATCTCCAACAGAAACAATCCCTTTTTCTTCCTTCAAGATTTTTTTGTTGTTGTTGTTGTTCTTCTCCATCCCTATTCTCCTGCCCTCACATCCCCAACATATGTGAAACCAAGTACGTTTCATGAATTAGGATTTTGAGGACTGGAACATCCGAATAGTATATTACAGTTGTGTTATATTCTTTTTTTCTTTTTTCCCCCACCAATTTCTACTATTTTAACATTTTTTTTTCTTAATATATATGTGTGTTTGTCTTATGTACTCTACTGTCTTCCCACTTACTTGTCTACACAAAATTACTTCCTCTCCCTTCTCCTGCTACTAATCTTCCTCTTTAGATTTCTCTTTCACACTTCCTAAGATATAACAACTCTATATCCTCACGTCCTACCTCCTCAGCATATAATCCTACTCCTCACCCTCGGTTCTTTGTCCACCATCAGAAATAGAAGGGAAGACACACAAGCAATGTGAAAAGACAAGGGAAGAAAGTGCCCCAAACAAATCAAGATTCCACATTATTAAGCCATGGCCAGCACAGCAGAGGAAATTACAGAGAAGGAGTTCAGGATGTTCAAATGTTCCATGAATTAAAGGATGATGTAAGAGAGCAAATAAAGGCAGACAAAGAGCTACATAAACAAATACAGGAAGGAAAGATTACTTCAATAGGGAGATAGAGGTTCTAAAAATAAAAAACAGAAATCCTTGAAATGAAAGAAACAATAAACAAAATTAAAAGTTCAGTTGAAAGCATCACCAACAGATTAGACCTCTTGGAAAACAGGACTTCAGACAATGAAGACAAAACATATAATCTTCAAAAGAATGTAGTCCATACAGTGAAAATGGTAAGAAACCATGAGTAAAACATTCAAGAAATATGGGATAGCATAAAAAGACCAAATTTAAGAGTTATTGGGATAGAGGAAGGCATAGAGGTCCAAACCAAAGGAATAGCTATCCAATGAAATAATATAGAAAATTTCCAAACATGAAGAATGAATCGGAAAACCCAATTCAAGAGGCTTATAGGATGCCAAATGTACAAAATCACAACAGATCATTACTAAGGCACATTATAATGAAAATGCCTAACATACAGAATAAGGAGAGAATATTAAAAGCCAAGAGAGAAAGAAATAAGATTACATATAGGGGGAAACCAATTAGATTATGTGAAGATTTTTCAACCCAGACCCTGAAAGCTAGAAGATCCTGGAACAACATATATCAAGCTCTGAAAGAAAATATATGCCAACCAAGAATCTTATATCCAGCAAAATTAAGCTTTTTTATTTCATTTGATAATGAAATAAAAACCTTTCATGATAAACAAAAGTGAAAAGAATTTACAACTTGGATGCCTGTACTATAGAACATCCTCTGCAAAATATTCCATGAAGAGGGAATGAAAATCAGCAAAGGAAGGTATTAAACTAAAGGAAAAACTAATCAAAGGAGAAACCAGTCAAGTTAAATACCAAAAGTAAACAAAAATGGCTGGGAATACAAATCATGTCTCCATAATAACCTTGAATATTAATGGCCTAAACTCACCAATCAAAAGACATAGACTAGCAGATAGGATTTTTTTTTTTAAAGACCCAACAATATGCTGCCTCCAAGAGACTCATAGGAAAAGACATCCACAGACTGAAAGTGAAATGTGGGGGAAAACCATACCACTCACATGGACTGCAGAAGCAAGCAGGGGTTTCCATCCTCATATCAAATAAAGTAGACTTCAAGCCAAAGTTAATCAAAAAGGATAAAGA